GGAACAGTGCAGCTGGAGAAGCAAACTCGGCTTGGAAGCAGGTTATGGTGGGAGGATCATGTAGGGATGCTGAGACTGCAGCTTGCTCTGGATCCAGAGGAGGTTTGTGCCCTCCCAGTTCCCACCCTTGAAAAACAAGCAAATAATAACATCACAGCCAGCCATGCCCCACACAGCTGCTGGGAGGAACACACTTCCAGGCTCACTGCTGTTCTGCCCTCTCCATGCCCACTGCAGTGCTGAAGAGTCTCCCCCCAAGCCATTCCTATGTCAGAAGCACAGGCAGGACCACTGGATGCTGCTCCCACGGTCTCCAGGCAGAAGAGGCTGCACCCCAAGAAGTACAGGCACCAAAGGACTTAGCACATCATGTACAAGTAGACTAATTCTGGAAACTAAGAGTCCATTTATAACCCCTTTATTAATAAATGATTAATAGATGCAGCCATATTTTTTAATAACTTGCAATAAAAAGATGCTACGAGAAGCTTAAGCAAGACAGACTTAACAGATGGTGCTATAAAGTGAATTATAACATGTACAGTAGCTAGTGCAGAGTAATGGATGTCCTCATTTAATAAAAAGAGCCTGATTTCATGCAGCAACTTTCACGCTTGAGGCACCTCAGTACACTTTAACGAGTCCTTGTGGCCTCAGCAGTAGCTTGTATGCAGCCACAGACATCAGATGCTGTTTTAGCAAGTGAGAGGATGTTGGTCAGGACACTGGGGCTGCTCCAGAGTCTCGATTTTTAACCTTTCCTTGGACAGCTACCAAAAGCAGATGGAAAGGTCTGAAAGCTGCCACCTCCTAACACTTCACCACAGGGAACGACAAGCAAGTCTTGCTCTAGGGCTGGAAATGTGTTCTCAGGGAAAAAAAGAGCATTATTCCCAGCCCCAAAACCAGACTGCCATCTGCATCCACGACTAAGGCACGCTGCAAATTATGTAATTTAATAAACACTGTAATAGTAAAGTATTTATTTTGTATAATGAAGTGTTAGTGATTAGAAACCAAACACACATCGGGCGTGCTGCTGCGGTTTCTCTTGAACCTTTGCCAGTATCACTCAAGGCTAAATATGTCTGCAGCAGGTTGAGAGTAAGTTCCTTGCCTTGTTTTGATCAGCCTGTCAAGTGTTTTAGCTGCCAGTCGAGTTTCTTTATATCACACTATAATTGGCTCCTTTCTCAAGGTGCAGCGAAGGGAAAAAAGCACACGGCAAAACTCGGCTCCTTTGGCAAAATCCTCCACTGCTGCTTTGCTGAAAGCTGATTTCAGTAGCAAAGGGCATTTTGTAAACAGCTGGTGAAAATAGACTGGAACTGAAAGGCAGCTTGCATTAAACTCACAAGAAAGCCTTATTTACCCTCCTGTGCTCGCTTTGTAGTGTCGATCAAACCCCTCGCGGCTCCCGGGGGAGGCCCTCGGAAAAATAAAGGGAATGAAAAAAACCAGCAAGGCAAATGACGTCCTTCAGAGCCCCAAAAGCACCTGAGAGCCACCAGAACAGCGTGTGCTGTGTCCCCCACACCCACCTCCCTGCACAAGTTCAAAATCCAGGGTCAAGCGTTCACCTCCGGCACTGTCCCCGCGTGCCCTTGGGTGTCACTTCTCGGGGAGAGCTTTGATCAGAGGAGGCAGGAGGGGTGTCCTGCTCCCCTGATCCTAAACCCATCCCTCAACGTCAGCTCATTGATTTGTAGATGTCAGGGTGAGAGCAGAGAAAAACACAAGGGTACGAGGGACAATCAATCACCGGTGGCACAGGACGTGGAGCAACGCGCCCCCCAGAGGCTTCGCTTCCAGCCTCCCAGCACCGGCGCTGCCTCGTCCTCATAAGCATTTCCAGCGCTGGCCACGCGCCCAGAACCAGCTCTGCTGGGGCACAGCTCCCTGCTACACCCCGAGCTTTTGGGGCGACACCCTAAAAGTCAGAGGAGGACAATCTGGCACTGACCATTGAGGAGAGAGAACTGGCTACAGCTGCCAAGGGACCTTCCTGCCACCTTCTATCACACCATCCTACCAATTTACTCTGGAAATGCAAGTGCAGAGCTGCCACTCTGGGATTCTGGGGCTGTTCCCCACCAAAGGATCAATGTCCAAGTGTCAGGGCCACCTTGACACAGGAAAGGACATGTGCATTTTCTGTTGGTTGCTACTCTGAGAAGCAGAAATCAGCAATGGAGAATCCCCTGGATTGGAGCCAGGGCTCACCCTAACCTGGCACAGCACAGCCAGAGGCTTCCAGGTGTATCCCACACCTATGCACTTTGTCCTTTCAGAGTGCCAAGGCTGCCCAGCATGTGGATAAACACAAACAGGTAGAGCAGCCTGTTTAGTTCCACAGCTCTGGTTTGAAGGGCTCCTTTTGCTTTCCAGGGAATTCTGCAGTGACAACAAACATTTCCTTTCTGCTACAACGTGGCAGCAGCACCTGAAAAGCCAATTGTTCCCTTAACAGCGACACTGCAGACACCACCCACGATGCTGGGAGATGTGGATGGTGGATTCCAGACAGGGCTGGACCCCAGGAGCTGGTAACTGTAGAACCTGTTCCACCTTACTGCTGCTTGCCCTGCTCCTAGTCCCTTTTCCTCCTCTCTTTAGGCCATCTACCTGTCACTGCTACAAAGAACAAAGGAGAAACAAAGCACTGGGACTGGTGCTTCCTAGCTCAGCTAGAAAACATTATAAGTACATCATTCAGGTAAGGTTTCCCTCCTGCCACCTTTCCTCAAGGCTGCAAGAAGCTCTTGATTTCCCTTACTTGGGCTGTAAAAACCTCTAAAGGCTGTGTTCTGTCATGTAATGCAATACAAAACACAAGGGTATAGGATCGGAAGGGAAAAATTTGGAAGGGACTCTCCAGGGAAGTGATGGAGTGACCACCCCTGGAGGTGTTCAGGAAATGACTGGACATGGCACTCAGTGCTCTGCTCTAGTTGACAAGGTGGTGATGGGTCACAAGTTGGACTTGATGGTCTTGGAGGTCTTTTCCAACCTAACTGACTCTGTAAAATGTAAGTTACTAAAAAAGTCAACAAGCAGCATAGCCTCAGGTAGCACAATGCTAACAGGCCAGAGAAAAATCCAGTACTTCTACCTTTCCTGGCACTAAAAAAATCAAGAACCCTAATTCTGGGTGGAAATGGTCTTGGTGAGTAGGTAGAAGGGCTTGCCTGCCTCAGCCCCATGAGGAGGGGCAGCATAGCGTTCCAGTATGTCACACTTAGCTGTAGCCTCTGGAAGAGCACATTTACCCCAGACTGAGCATACAACCAGCATGGTTTGTTGTGAACCACACACAGCCAGTGGCTACAGGGGCCTAATGACAGTGCACGGGGTCCTGCTGCTGAGTTTCCTTTGGGCTCACCGTCTGTGCGCTGAACTCGGGTAACATGATGCACGTCGCTCCCACCCACAGAGGGCACAGCAGCTTATTGATCACCCCATGGACATGGTGCAAAGGCAGCACGTGCAGGATGACATCCTCCTTCTTCCACTCCCATTTGTCAACCAGCCCCGTGGTCTGCAGAAGAAAAACAATGCAGAGTTAGGGTAGGAGGAAAGGTTCTCCTGAGGTATCCAGGCCTCAAATCCCTGGTCACAGCTGATAGCACAACTCCCAGACCTCCTAGAATCATGCCTGGGCACAAAGTCTTTCCTTTAGGATCAGCATGAGCAAATTTCCAACCACAACAGCAAGAACACAAGAGGAACACATTCTGCATCTTGTCAGTTCACGTCTTTCATGCAAAGTCTTTCCTTGTTACTGAGCAATAATCAACAATGACTTTTAGCAGGGCCTACAAAAATATTAGTCTGCTGCTGCACATGAAGAGTTGGCAGAAATGGTAATAAACCCCCTAATTTTCCCAGAATTCTGTTGACAGTTTGGACACTGATGACATCAGGCTTTTAACACCTGTAAGGGATAATCAGCAGGAGCAGACAATCACTGATAAATGGAAAGTAGGTTTTACATTAGTAAAATCTATCAGTATATGAAGCTTCCAAAACACTCTGCTCCAAAAGGATAATTCCCTGAAGCCTCAGACCTCAGGCAGTGGGTGAGAAATGCCCTTCAGAGCCCAGTTAGCAACTGGCAAGCTTATTTGCAGCCACCTAAAAATAAAGAAAGCATTTGAAGAGTGGAATTCAGTCATGTTCCTCACAGCCCTCTCCCACAGGGCAGGGAGCAGCTTTTGGGCTTTCTGCAGGCACAAAGGATGGGGATTGCTCAGGCCACCCCCAAAATGAGCAGCATATTTGTAAGGGAGCAGATTCTTTGCCCAGTATAGCCAAGTCCTGGCTCTATCCATCAAGGCTCTCATTCCACTCCTGACACTGCAGTGTCTGAGCACCCAGAACAGTGTCAGCTCTCAGAGTATCCCTAAGGCACACTGGATCTCCTGCCCTTTTTCCCTCCTGGCAGGAGTCTAGCAGTTGCAGGCAGGGATAACCAAGTGGTGAGGCAGTCAGCAGGCTCATGCAAACTTTTAATTCCTTTTGGCTCTGAGAGCTAATGGATTTTTTGCCTTGGGGATACAAAGCTGAATAATGCACCAGCTCCACACAGCACTGGGCTGGGCTAAGGTATATTCCACTTAGGAGCAAAAATACTTTCCTAGTCCCAGTGTAGAAAAGCAAACTGCAAAGAAAGCAGGATGCTTAGAACAGGTCTCAGCCCTCCTGCTTTCCAGGAAAGCACGGAAGAGAGTCCAGCTGCCCTGGGATGGAGCTGCAGTACAGCAACACCAACAGGATAAGGATTAGAGTCTCAAACACTGCTCTGTGTTCACCTCACAAGTGTTGAGGATCTCTGAGCTGCAGCCCCACAGCTCTCTGCAGGGATCTGGTACTGGGAAGGTGTGTTGGCAACTTCAAATCACCTTCAAAGCCAAGACCTTATCATAGAATCATTAAGGTTGGAGGAGACCTCCAAGATCATCGTCCAACCACTAACCTGTCACTGCTGTGACCCCTAAACCCTAAACCATATATTCCAGTGCCAGGTCCAGATGCCTCTTGAACACTTCCACTGGGCTTATGCCATGGCACAAGCTTTGCAGAGGGGTAGCAGCACTCACCACAGCCTGCACGTTCTCATGTGTGCTGAGGACACCCTTGGGCCTTCCTGTTGTTCCACTGGTATAGATGATCATGGCTCCTCTGTCCTTCCACGAGGAGCAGGTGGTCAAGCGACCTTCTTCCAGGGCTGCATAGCTTGCAGGTCCATCACCATGAGCCTTGAGGAGTGGCAGCACAGGGACTCCCAGTTTCTTGGCACTGGGGGCTATTTTCCCCATGTATTCCTCAGTTGCAATGACCAGGGAGCTCTGGGAATCCTGGATCACATACTCCAGCTCCTGCACAGGGTGTTTCCTGTACAGAGGCACTGCTATGCCCCCACTCATCCACGACGCCCACTGGGCCACCACATAGGAGGCATCATTGGGACACAAAAATGAGATCCTCTCTTCCTTCAAGTCTCTGCTGGAGCACTCCAGGACTCTACAGATCTCCTGGGACAAGCACAGGCTCCGGCTGAGAAGGTCCCTGTAGGTGTGCTCACCACTTTGGTCAACAATGGCAATTTTGTCCCCATAAGCCAAAGCCCTGGTGAAGACAGGGGTGATGTCACTGCTGTGGGTGGCCCAGGCTGTCTGCAGACCCCTGTGGGGACAGCCAGCCCTCCTCCAGCTCCCTCTGCAGCGGGGCAGGGCCCGGGTGAGGCACTGGAGAGGCCGGAGCACCTGGGGGAGGCGCACAGAGAGCAGCATCCTGCCAGCACTGCTTGGGTTGAAGCGATTCTGCAGAAAGCAATTATAGGAACAGATAAGTATGTGCAACAGTTACCCAGGGGGTTATTCCCACCAAGGAGAAGTGGCAGCCTTCATTTGAATAATATCCACTATATTATTAATGTTCCTGCTTCAAGCTGCTGCATCCATGGCACGTTGGGCCCTGCCTGGATGGAGTGGGAGGCAGAGACCCTTCACTGTGCAGCCCTGGCATCCCTAAAAACCAGGTACCTTAATAATGAACTAGTTTTCATAGAATCACAGAATGGTTTGGATTAGAAGGACCTTATAGATCATCCAGTTCCACCCCCTGCCACGGACAGGAACACCTTCCACTTAGACCAGGCTTTGAACACTCCCAAGGATGGATCAGCCACAGCTTCTCTGGGAAACCTATGCCAGTGTCTCACCACCCTCACAGGGAAGAATTTCTTTTCCAAATCCTCACTGTAAAGAATCTTTAATGTCCCTTCCAACCTAAACCATTCCAGGATTCTCTAAAGAATCCTAACCCCCATCTGCACAGCCTGGAGCTCTGGCTGGGAGCTCAGGAAGGAGCAACTCCCTCTCCACACAGAGCCCTCAGCAATAGGGAGCAGAGAGGAAAGAACAGGACAGGAGAGAGAAGGATTTCCTGCACAGAATCTAATCACCACCAAAATATCCCCAGAGAGATTCCATGACAAGAGGAAACAGCCAAAGGATGACAACTCCTCACTCTCTAAGAGTGTCCGTGACACCTCCTTGACGCTGGCAATAACCACCTGATTTTGTACAATTCTTTTGATAAATGCTTATTAGTGGAGCAGCTCAGCTCAAGCAGCCTCCCAGCTCAGCCTCCCACCGTGGGGAGGAGCTGAAACAACAGCGATCCAGGCTGGCAGCTCCACAGGGAAGAGCTGGACAGGGCTTCATCCAGTTCAGGCTGTGTTGATGTTTGCCCTGAGCCCTGTGGTCTCTTCACCTTCAGAGCATTTCTCCACCCTGACACAGGCTCTGAACATATTTTCTTTTGCATATCAACCTCAGGTTCTGCAAAACAAACTTGTGATTTGGTGCGGAAACATCTGGAGGGGCAGAGAGGCTTCACACCCTGAGTGGGGCAACGTGGGAACTCCTCACGTGTACCACCAGGGTGGAAAAAACAAAGCAGGTCATGACAAACTCATGCGACATTTTTCCATTGCTCTACAGAGGCTAAAGTATAAAGAATCAACATAATTCATAAGCTAAACTGAAACCTCATCCCACCCCATGCCTACAACGAGGTAGTAATGCCCCAGGAATTAAAAGGGATATTAACTGGAAGCGGTGGTTTGCCAGGATCATGATCCAGGCCAGGCTAGCTGAGTACTCTCAGAATCCTCACCCTTCCTCACACATCTCTGGAGCAGTATCTCCTTCCAAAAATCCCATTATCCCATTTCCACTAGCCTAGATTTAATGAAGCAATAAACAGCAGCACCTCCAGCAAGGCCTGGTAATTATGGACTTCAGAGAACTGGAGTTGGCTGTGTGTGCAGACTCACAGACACTCGGGACAGAGGGAAGGAAATCCAGGGGATGCTTTCCTTCCCCGCCTGTTGCTCAGGGATAACTTGTGCTACAAACTCTGGCACAGCACAGCTGGAAACTAAGTTGGTCACTAGGGATCATGAGCAGAGCATGGCAGAGCAGGGATGAAACTTTGATGCCTTGGAATAGAAGGCTCAGCCCCTCTGGGAAGAAAAGGTTCAAACCCCCTTGGAAGAGAAGGTTCAGCTCTCTGAGAAGGTTCAACCCCCCTTGGAAGACAAGGTTCAAATTCCCTTGGAAGACAAGGTTCCAGTCCCCCTGGGAAAAGGAGGTTCAAACACTCACCCTCCTATGCCTGAAGAATTAAAGCAGCTCAGGGGTTCTTACTAGCTCCCAGCACAAGTCCACCACAAACTGGAAGCTGAACCCTCGCACATCCCATCCCTGTCCACTTTGTGCCATCACCCTCTGGTCTCTCTGAACATAAAGGGCATAAAATGCATTCCCTTTAAGGAAAATGATCCATGGAGTTATTCTATTCCATATGGAGTTATAATAGAAATAATCATCATTCCAGCCGTGATCATGTCTTAGTGGTGTAACTAACACTGCAAGTCTGACCCGCAGGATTCCATCCTCTCCTCGTTTATAGGCATGACAATACAAAGCTATTCCAGGCGGTTTCTACAACAGAGATTTTAAAAAATACTTTATTCTTAGAAAATCATAACATAACTACAGAAAAGAGAGTTGGAAAAGGTATCAGATAATGACTGAGATGGTGATTATTCTCTCCCTCTCACAACACAAAGAGATAATTAATGCCAGAATGGTTTGAGCTGGGAGGGTCCTTAAAGCCCATCCAGCCCCACCCCTTGCCATGGGCAGGGACAGCTTCCACCAGCCCAGGCTGCTCCAAGCCTCATCCAACCCGGCCTGGAACACTCTCAGGGATGGGGAATCCATCGACTCTCTGTGCCAGTGCCTCACCACTCTC